ATCCAGAGAAGGGCAACAGCATTATTAAAGGCATGGATGGAATCCATATTGAGGCAAATATAAGATTTTTGTGCTGGGGTGACCAGTAGTGAACACAACAGTCACGGTGAGCTGTGTAATGGTTTTGTATCTTGAGGGTTATTCTCTAATACTTCGTTTGACCTGCTCTGTGGGAGTCCAAGAGTTCTAACTTGCAGCTTGTCATGTCACAGCACAGTCTAACAAATACTGTCTCAAGATCACCTCTGCTTCTTGTGACCCATTATTGAAAACTCTCTGTCTTCGATATTCTGCTGTCAGAGAAGCAAGAGAATTTTCCTTTGTCTTTGTGAATTGCTTCTCTTTATCTTCTCTGGTTTAGGGGGCACCTGTGGGGGGTCACATCCTGAACTACCTCCTGGAGAAGTCTCGGGTTGTTCATCAGAATCACGGAGAGAGGAACTTTCACATCTTCTACCAGCTGTTGGAGGGAGGGGAAGATGACCTGCTGCGGCGTCTGGGCCTGGAGAAGAATCCTCAGCAGTACCATTATCTAGTCAAGGTGTGAGCAGGGGCAGCGCTTTGCTGATTTCTTGGTTTGCATTGTCAGTGAAAGGAAAAACTCTCCTTACTGATAGACACCAGTGGGGTAGGAAGAGAGAGCTGAGTCTTGACCTGTAAGGAGAGCGAAACTTTTTGGGTGCAAGTTTTTAATAAGAATGAACATTACTAATTCTCCTGTGAGTCTTAGTTTATTACTTCTCCGTGTCTTTCCTGAGTCGCAAAGCTGTCGGTGAGATGGCGCCTTCGGTAACAATTCACACGTGACAGAGCCACGTGTGCTGAGTGTACAATCCGTCCTGCTGTAGGAATGATCCTCTCAAAATCTGTTTTTAGGGTCAGTGTGCAAGGGTCAGCTCCATCAGTGACAAGAACGACTGGAAGGTTGTGCGAAGGGCCCTGTCTGTCATTAACTTCAGTGACAACGAGGTAGAGGTAAGAAATGCCTTGTCTATACAACTAAGCTTTGGCGGCAAAAGCTGCCTTTTGCCAACAAAACAGGCAAAATGTGCACAGAGCCAGGCTAATGTGGTGACAAAACTCTGTTCTTGTGCCACCAAATAGAACGATCTCAGAGAGAGGCAACAAGCTGTTTGTGGCGCGGTTAAAGCGGCAAAGCACCAGTGCAGATGCTGTTGTTTGTTTTGTCCACATAGCTGGCTCCTGCCAGTCTCCCACAGTGCTTGCTACGACTGCTCTGCTGTCCTGCCAGGATGTCTCCTCCCCTTTCAGAGCTCTGGAGCTGTTCCTCTTGGGGGGCAGGAGCAGCCGTTAGATGGAATGCGCCTGCTCGGCCCTGCGCGAGCAGCAGGCAGACTCGTTCGGCAGGGTGCGGGACTGGGCTGGGCTGCTCTGACGTTCCTCAGCACGGAGACTCTCAGCTGCCCAGGAGGCTGTGGGAGAACTTGGCGAGAATCACAGGCGTGCAGGCAGGCAGAGCAGTCGGCTTCAGGAGAGACTGCTGTGCCAAACTGAGCTGGGCAAGGGGCTGACTTAAGGGGGAGTTCCCCTCCCCTTGCCTCGAGGTGGGTGGGTCAGCCTGCTGGCTCCCCCATCCCAGATGCTCTTCTCCTCTCGATTCCCTCCAGGGGAAGGGAAGGGTGGGATTGGGAAACCTTCCTTGCACAGTGCTGTCCCTGCCCCATGCGGCATTGCAAGTCCTTCCCAAGCACCTTGTGGCCAGCTGCATGGTGGGCTAGCTACCACCGTGCCCTGCTCGCCATGTCGATGCAAGAGCTGGTAGAGTGGGTGCTCTCAGCCGGCACAAGGAACTAGCGTGGATGTGCAACAGCACTTTTAAAGCAGCATAAGTGCTGCCAGCAAACCTCTGTAGTGTGGACGAGGCCTGGATCTTTTCCCCTTCCAGGACTGTCCTGCCTCCGTTAGTTCTGTCTGCCAGGAGGCCGCCTTTGGGGGTGTGCTCTGCAAAGAGCTAAATGCAGAATGTCTCCTACGAGGGGACGTCCAAAGACGCTTCCCTCTCCCCCCTCCCAACTGTGGCATAACCCACATGCATTCCCATCTCCTTGACCAGTTTGCTTTTGATTTTCTCGTGTGCTAGGATTTGCTGAGTATTGTCGCTAGCGTGCTGCACCTGGGGAACGTGCAGTTTGCTGCCGAGGAGCAGGGCAGCGCCCAGGTGACCACAGAGAACCAGATTAAGTATCTGGCCAGGGTGAGTGTGATCCATAGAGCTGTGCCCAGGCAGCCGTGGCCTCGCTTCTGGGCTGCTCGTGTTCCTCCAGAGAAAAACGCAGCAGTTGTTAGGTCCTGACGCTATTAAAGGACGCAATCAATTGAAAGTCACGTGTCTGTCTCGGCCTCTGAAAATCTCTTCCATGCACTTTCTCCAAGCCACTGCCTCCCTTCCGTTCTAGGCATAACACGGCTATGTGCTGCTGGTGCGCTACCCTTCAGTCCCCTGTTTGTCAAACAGATTTGCTGAGTAGTAATTGACCTGTTGTGAGCTGCTGCAGTACAGAAAAAAGTCTTGCTGAATAAATGTTTGAATGACTGCTTCCCCATTGGTTATGTGACCATTCCTCAAGTGCCGTCCGACAGTCCTACTTGCGCTGTCTCTTTTGCTCACTTTACATCTTTCCTCCTCTCTCCTCTGCTCTGTTGTACTTTCTGCTTCCTCCCTGTATTTGCTGGCTCCTGTTTCTAGAGGCTAGTCTATGCTACAAACCCATTGCGGGGACAGTACTGACAGAAGGGCTCTCTCTTTGCTGGTATAAATTGTGTCTGCACAGTGGGATTTGCCAGCCTACCTACGCTGATGAAACAAGCAGTGTAGACTTGGCCCAAATATCTCACTTCTCTTTTCTAACTTACCCCCACATGTGTATCCATGTACCCGTATGCAGGACCTTTGAGTTGTACCAGTGCTGACGGCGTAAACACCCCACTGTCCTGGAGCATTGCTTAGCTGCTTATAACCTCAAGTTCTGGGATTCCTGACAGGATCCTGCTGCTAGATCTCACTCAGGGACTTCATTTTCCATACACCCTCTGCCTGGAAGGGGCATTAAACGTGGAGCCTACCTTCTCTCCAAAGCCCCCGTTGTGGCTGTCGAGAGAGAGAAGCATCCGCTTCCCCTTTGCGCCCCAGAGCCGCCTGCTTGCAGTGTGAGTGGGCGCCCGGGCTGTCTAACCCTGCTCCCAAATTCCTAGCTGCTGTGGTGAGCGTGTCTCCCCAGCACGCTGACACCCCCCTCCGCTTTCTCTGACTCTGCCCTTCCCCTGCCAAGCAGATGAGGTGCCTGGCACTCACTAGTTAGTATTGAACCGGGAGCGTCCCGATGTTCTGGTTGGGGTGCTGTGTCTGTGCGGGGGGCAGTGCAGGCACCCTCCGTCCCCACAGGGCTTCCAATGTAAAGGAGCGGGATATGGTCGGTGACGGACAATACTGTTTATGTATTTGCATTAAAACACTTGAAAGTTGTCAACCTTCCCCGTTCGCTCCTCGGCCCGCCTTTGATTAGATTCTTTCCAGGCATGGCAGCAGAGCTGGGTCTTGAGGAGAGGGAAGTGGCCGTACACCTCGGTCAGAGAGGGTGGTGGCCCAGAAGAGGGCAGAGGTGTTTGTGGAAAAGCCGACAGGCGGGCAGATAAAGCTGGTAGCATTGCGAAAGCGGAGGAGGCTGAAGGATGTAGGGGTTGTGCAGGAACACGCGAGGAGGAGAAGGGAGGAGCACAGTTGTGGAGGGTGCTGATAGGGAAGACGGGAAACCAGTGATAAGATTCAGTGTGGGCGGGGCATGGTCACAGTGCCAGGCAAGGAAGATGACCTCAAAGCTGGAGGAGGTGGCTGCTATAATCATGGTTGGGACAAGCCAGGGGAGCGTGGGGACTGCCTGGACAGAGAGGAGAGGGTGAATCTTAGAAAGGGTCGTTAGTTTCTGCGCACTCTGCTGGAAGGGCCCCAGTAAACACGTCTGGGCATTCTGATCTCGTTGTGGGGTGAATACTGCGCATGGGTCTGCTAGACTGAAGAGTGCATCACTGTCTCTCCTCGGGCAGGGTGCACTCATCCGTGAAGAGCAGGACTGTGGGGCCTAGTGTTCCTAAAGCAGGGGTGGACTTACCCAGATTTTCTCTAATTGAGTTTTCCTTGTGGTGGTTTGCAGCTCCTGGGCGTTGAGGGCTCTGTGCTCCGAGAAGCGTTGATCCACAAGACGATCATAGCAAAAGGGGAAGAGGTAAGAACATCCAGAATGGAAGTCGGCGAATCTGCTCTGCTTTGGTGTCTGGTTAAACCGTTTACTGATTGCTCACGGGTCTGAGAAGTGGCTGCCGGGGGCACCCGACACTGCTGGCTATTGGTTTGAGTTACAAAGACAGTGACGTGTCTCTTCTCCCTTCACATGCAGTTGGTCAGCCCTCTGAATCTGGAGCAAGCAGCCTATGCGCGGGACGCTCTAGCCAAGGCGATCTACGGGCGCACCTTCTCCTGGCTCGTGAATAAGATTAACAAGTCTCTGGCGTTCAAGGTAAATGTGCTTCTCAGCGGCACTTCCATGGTCCCAGACGACTGTGCTACTGAGTGGACGGGAAGAGGGCGTTCAAACCATTGAGGCGGGGGAAGGGCTCAGCTCAATACCGAACAATGGTTTCCTGAGCGCGGTCCTCATGAGAAGAGCGAGGACCCAGCACTGGCAGTATGCGAGAAGAGCGCGGTGGAGGGTCACGTCTGCCCCCAACCTACCGATTACAGCTGGCGGTGCCTTTGTTGCAGGAGGCAGAATGCCCAGGCTGGAGAAGTGCAACCGTCCTAGGGCTGCTTGACATTTATGGATTCGAGGTTTTCCAGCACAACAGGTTTGTTTTACCAACATCTTCGGACTTTGAATAACCTTGTTCCCTGTGATTTAATCCTGATACTTGGTTGCCGTCCCTCAGCCTTAGACTAACACGCCTCCCTATGTCTGGGGCTTTTGAATGGGAGGGGCTGATGGACCCTGAGATTAGGGCTCAGCTCCAGGAAGTCAACAAAATACCCGCGGGTGGTAGGCACCCGCCTTCTGCACATCTCTGCATGGGGCCTGCGTGCCCAGTGGGGACCCTGCTACTGCCCTGCACAGCTGTTCGTCATGGGAGTGTTCCCAGGGTGCAGACCTGACCTGCCCCTCTAGGAGCCTGTCCACACAAGCTGCGATCACACAGGTGGGGGGCGTGGGTATGTGTCCTCTTTCCAGCACAGAGCAGGGCAAAAGACGGCCCAGCAGCCGGATCCGGCCCACGGACTCCCTTGCCGGGACCCTCAGGCACATCACTGCCCTGGCTTAAAGCTCACTTCACCTGCTCTCTGCTTCATGGGATCTCCCCGCCCCCGGCCCAATCCTCCGCTCCGAGGCCAGACACAACTGACCAATAGGAACTGACTCCAGAAC